TTTGAATTCTATTAATATTGATGAAATAAAGAATGTCAAAGCTTTACCTTCGCAACAATTTCATTGTCAAATAGCGACATCTCATTTGGTCTTTCGTTCTAAAAATGTGTCAAGATTACCTCAAATTTAACATTTATAGAAATCTATAATGTGTTTTTCGACATTTTTCGTGACTCATTCTTAGAATGAGGCGATCATTGACAATGGTATGGTATAGTATTTTCAGTCACAGAAATGTAGGTGTAGCTGAATCATCTCTCTGATGAAACTGATAAAAATTTCTTTCAGTCGACTATCGAATACTGACGTCATTTACAACATGAAAATGTCCCATGAAACATTTCTATAAATCTTCATCGATCAACAAGATTAAGCATTCAAAACGCCAAAATACAAATGGCAAAATCATGGTTTAATGATTTCTGTTCGATTGTTGCACGTTTAGTTCGTGTTATGCAATAGATGTCTCCAAAGGCTTCCAGTGGACATGCAGTCGACTTAGTTGAATATTCTTCTGATTCATTGCTATCCAACATGTGTGTTAAACATTGATCTGTCGAACAAATATTTGTTGTTTCTTGTCCTTGTTCAATCTTTGTAATAAGAAAAGCTGAATATGACAAGATCCACGCTTCATCTCCATCATGAAATTCTGATATAGTCGATATATTAAGAGCAGTACGATCGTCATTCACTATTTCATGAATACAAAAGAATGAATCTGTAGCTGGATTGGACATTGCTTTATCACAAAACCTCTGAGCAACTGCAGGATTCTTTGCTATCGAGAGAAATATAGTTGTAATAATACATGGTTTTGGGTGTAGACGAAAAGAACATCCAGAACCACACTCATCTAGTCATGTTTATCACTTCCCCGATCTGTGTATGGCATCATCTGAGAGTGTGTGGGTGTGCATGTGGTTGTGACAAGGAAGTGACGAGCAAAACAAATTCACACTCAAGATGAATATGTCTCCTTTAGCCTGACATGACGCATTTCAGGAGTGTTTCTAATCGATTAAAAATACATTTTACTTATGGATAAAGAATTTTATTCAAAACTATTCTTAAAAATTAAACACTTTACAACATAATTTCAGTTTTTTCTTTTCTGTTACGGTCATTATATCATGAAGTTCTTGTTCACGAATCAATGCTATCTTAAAAAAAAATTATTGTTGGCAATATTGTGCAATCTAGATGTGTTGTACAATTGAATTACATTGGAACCGTCCATTATATTATTCGTCGATAAAAAATAAGTAAACGCTCTTTTAAAACTTTACGAAAGAGATTGCTTGATAATGTATTTACAAAGAAACTTTTACTAAAATTCAAATAGAATATAAAACTTGAGATTTGCAAAAGTAATGCTTCTATAGCATGACGGTATTCATCTTTGGTAATATCTGTTGAAAGTACTGTATATGAATAGTATACTGTTCGAATATTAAGTAAAATAAAGCTATATAAAACTTGAACTAATGTAATTTTAATCATTTGTGAATCAGTTCGATTTCGTTGTTGTATTATTGGATGAACAAGACGTTGATGACTTTTTCGAACATTAAAATATATAATCAAACTAAATATGAACATACTAATTTGTGGAATTAAACTTGTCCAAACAATACTATATATTGATAAGAAAAAAGAATAAGTTCCTGCTGCTGGAGAACAACGTGATCGAAGATTAAAATAGATTAACAAATGAGAAGATGTAAGACTATATAAAATAATTGGAACACATGTCATTTGATGTGCTACTTTAATTTGACTAAATGAACGAATGTATCTACTTTTTGATGTTGATAAACATCGATCTATAGAAGCCAAAACGAGATAACCTGTTGAAAAACATGGTAATGTCCATGTAAGAAATATACGTATTCTACACCAAGCAAGATTTGTATGTTGTAATTTGCTACCATAATGTTCACTTGCTAATTTAGTAAATAGACCAAAATTAATATAAATAAAATCGAATAGACTTGACATTAAAAGATACCATCCACAAGAATTTTGACGTAATGATTTTGATGTAAATGTTATAAAATTACATATACATCCAATGTTACCAAAAAGAAGTATTATATATGAAGCATAAATTGTAATATAAAATCGTATTGCTTTAATTGATTCGATATTCATTCTTGGAAAGTAACTACGAAGTATTCTCATAGGCACTAGAATGTGAATAAAATACAGCAGTAGTCGGATTTCTCAAGTCTTGAACTTCTGAAATTCTCAAATCAACAGAACTCGAATATTCTCTAAAAAGTATGGGTTTCGATTTCGGTTCTCTCTACACTCATAACTATACTTATATTTGAATATCTACGGAAAAGATTATATCTTATATTTGTCATTTATTGCGATATTTCCCGTATCCCGAATTTCTGTATTTAAAACAGGACTACGGTTGTTTAAGATCCGTGAATAAACAAAGGGTGATGATATCAATTTCATTCGAAACATTAAGGTTACGTGAATTCCATGACTGATATTGAACTTTGAGAAATTCATGAATTCAGAAGTAAAGGTACCGGGGTATGTCTCTCATAGACTGTGACACCTCAAGGATTGCACTGACAGCTCTTTTTCCATGATTTCTTCTATTAATTAGTAACGAGACGAACATACTGATATTAAGAAATATGAAATGTCTTGTTATTTCGTTAAAATGATGTTCAAAATTTAGACTCTATGCAGGAAATAATAACTATCGTGCATCTATTTAAACGATCAAGTGAAAAATATAACGTTGTGTGCATTAAAGAGATTAGAAATGTGATGATATGAACTCTAAAGGACGTCAACACAAAAAGAAAATTGTTAGAATGGTATGATGCAATGATTTACTCATGATAATCTAATACTTATTTATAGTTGCTGATTCAGAAAATCAATTTATTAAGTATAGAAATATTATCAGAAAACAAGGTAATTTAATTAAAGATAAATATTTTCTCTTCGAAATAGATCTGATGCATTTTCAATAATTACTAGTGTTGAGATTAAATTTTTTATTTTCAAGGACAAGCTTTTTTTATGTTTTCAGAAAATACAATTATCAAATGCAAACAAATTGTTCACATGAGCTCATGAGTTTCTATTTTTAGTATTGGTTCTTATTGTGAATAAATATAATTAAATTTTCGATCATATTTCTCGCATAGAAAACAATCACTTTTCTTTTTTTATCTAAGATGAACGAGTTAGACAAAAACTACAAATTATATATAGTATCTGTTTAAGATGGGCTTTCTTCATAATGGAAAATTTTTTTTTTTTTTGAATTTTGCAAGTCAATTAGTGGAATAATTTTCAGATATTCTTAATTATACAATATTTTTGGTAGTCTAGATTGAGAAATAAACAGTATGAAAAGTTTACTTCTATGTCTCTTTTGTGTATATTTCGACACGTTTCTCTTTGATTATTTTTCACATTTAATAAATTGCTAAATATTGTTCTGTGATATAATATTCAATTAATGTTTACATGGAAAACTCTTGAACTTACTTGAATATGAGTTCCTATGAAAATTATATATTTTGGAAAATTTAGAATATCAGAAATGTCTATTGTGACGAAAAATTTGCCCCTATCACGATGGTATTTCAAAAAATATTTCGAATTTCATTGCTATCAGTGTACTGAAGTGGAACTGTTGTCATTAAACCATAAAATTCATCGAATTTCAGAGTATTACAATTGTAAACACTAAAATTTCGCATAAATTTATCCAGTTTTGCAATATTCTTCAAAAAATCTTACCGCACGGTCGCTGTGATGAACGACATTGCCTAATACTTTGGCATTGTCATTGTTTATGTTAATGAAGTATAGATCGAATAGATGTTTTGCATTAGTGACAAACAGGACAGATTTTTAAGAATTATCATTGACCTAACGTTAGCGTTTACAATAACTCAACCGGTCATTCGATAGGCATTTCAACGTGTCGTTTTCAGTTTCCAATGAGTTGAGGGCTCGACGTAAGGCTTTTTTGACGCACAGTTTCTGAGAACTCGAACGATTGTTTGCGAAGGAATTGAAATTCGATCAAAATGAAAAGCATTTTCAAGTTGTTCAAACTTATCGAATATATGCGCTGGATGAAATTCAAACATGGCTACTTACAATCTACTTTCTCAACGAAATATGCAGTAGTATTCTTCTGTGAAAATCATCTTTTCGATATACAAAAAATATAATACTTTGATGATTATATTCACGCTTGATACTTACTGTTAAAAATCAAAAATAACACTTGTTTATCTAAGAAAAAAAAGAAAACAATTTTTGCGCGTTCCTAACTATAAAAGCATTTATCGAGTTTCAGATGCAATATATAGACAGTTTGTTTGATAAATTACAAAATCAATGTCTAGAAGTCTTTTCATAAGTTGAAAATGCATGATTACATCTTCATTGATATATGCTAAGTATGAATAATTCTGCTAAGATCGTTGAATAAAAGTAGAGGACGTTTTAAAATTAGTTCTTGGAGGAATTTCACACAATCAAAATTAGACTCAGCAGTCAAAACTATTATTCTGTTAGGTTTACTTCTACTAGAGCATTGTAAAGTGTCCTTTCGATATGTTTCTTATGCTGGAGTAGTCGAAATTTCGATAAGTGCCAATCTATGTGATGAAAACAGCCGGTGTCTGCCAGTTAGTTGCCGTTTAACAGTAATTTTTTGTCGGATAAAACGAGTCTTTTCTACTTGATACCGAACTGAAAGAACTTGTAATTTTTTCAGAAAATTTTCGAACTGTCGCACCTGTTTTTACACTTTGACGTGCATTAAATTATGTCGGAACCACATGAAAATGCTTCCTAATCTAGATCTAGTTTAGGATCTCTTCTTGATATTTTATTGGTCACAACTGGCAAAGTAGTTCTTCTGTAACCAGCTCCAGTCGGCTCACAACGCAAGATGCATCCAAGATACATATCATCATGATAACTTTTGTGAACAATGATCTTGAAAAAAAAAATTTGTTGTAGTGACAACTATTTTCATTTTAGTTTTTGTGTTAATTTGACTACTAAATGAGCACAAATATAATTTATATGTTGAACTAGACTATTAGATGTTTTTCATATATATGAAAAACGTGATATGTGTACTTGTCGCACCTAGTGCTGGATTTTTCTGTTTCTATGTGCGACTTATCGATCATTGTAAGCAGTTAACCGTTGGTTTCTTATACATAGTGTTATTTACCGCTAAAATTAATTCAGTATACGTGCAACATGAGAAGGTGACGAAAATGATTAATTGATAGAATACAGTTTACGAAGCTGCTTCAAGTCGGAACGGAACAAACAAAAAACATATATATTGAGAATGTTCTACTGCTCATTGCACACATCATATGCTTTTCAAAGTCTACCTGTGGATGCATTACATCTCACATTAATGTTCATCGAATGAAAACCTTTTGTCTTGAAATGAGCATGTCACTGCAAAGTGCATGGACGTGTTAGGTGATAATAAAGATAGGCGATGAATCATTAAACAATAGTTTACAAGTAAACTAAGTAATGTTGTTTGACACATAATGTTGTCAGAGTCTACAACATCATCAAATAATTCTCTACTATCAAAAGCATGGATTTATTATGAACAAGGTTCAATAACACAAACATTACAACAGACAGTTATACCTATTAATACTCAATTAGAGTCGAATGAAGTAATTGTTGAAATAAAAGCAGTTGCTATCAATCCTGTAGATATTCAACTTGGTAATATATCACAATGGATCGCAAATTGGCTATTAGCTTCTGGTATGAATAAAGCAAAAATTCCTGGTGCTGACTTTTCGGGTATAATTTATAAAATTGGTTGTAATGTTACTAAATATAAAATAGGCGATGAAGTATTTGGTTTAAATTTATCCATGGTCGTATTCTCGCTGAAGACATTGTTGAATATTTACTTGATCCAGTTTTAAAAGGTATTTATGCTGGTAGTGTAACAGATTTAAGTGCTCGAAGTGTATTTAAAACAATTTTTAATCTTGAACAACGTTATGGTTCAATAATAGCTGGTTTATTAAAAACAAGAAAAGATAAACAAAATCAAAATTCAATACATTTTCTTTTTAATGATTTAAATTTAAAAGATTATTCAACATTATTAAATAAATATCCAATTTATTATTTACGTGATGGATTAGAAACACTTGTAAAGCATTAGTCAAACATCTTCAATCATCATCAAATATTGAATTAATGCATAATCAATCAATAAAAAAAATTCAATTTTTAGAAAATGAAAAAAATCATATTGAAATTTTAACACAAACCAATGAAAAATATCATATAGATCATTTAATTAGTGCAATACCAGCATTTGCATTAGCGAATTATCTTGATAATAAGCAACATGAAATATTACGATCACGATTAAATCAAATACCATTTGTTAATATAATTGTTATTAATTTACTTTTGGAAAAAGAAGATATTTTTCCTCAAGTAGCATTTGGTTATTTAATTCCATCACGTGAACAATCACATTTACTTGGAGTTTTATTTGATTCATGTATACGTCATGAAAGTGATAAACAAAAACGTGGTTCACAATTAACTGTTATGATGGGTGGAGCATGGTTTGATCAATTACGATTAGGACAATGTACTGATGAACAATTAATGCATATTACTATGAATGAATTAAAAACACAAATGAATTTAAATGAAAAACCATTATTTTATTCAATATCAAGACTTAATAAAGCAATACCAGTATGTTAATTCAATTCTTATTATTAGTTTTAACTACAGATGTACATAGATCGTTTTAATTTCGGTGTTAAAATCCATCGGGTTAATTCTGAATGTAAAAATTCTCCTCTTGACTAGGTTTAGGATCGATCCAAAAGGCTATATTCTAAAGTAACAGCGAATTAAGACTTGATTATTATCAGATCATCGTCAAGATTATCTAAGAAATATGTAGCATGTGTTAGTAGAAGAATTTCGAGAGAGAGATGATCAAGACTTACGAGGGACATCCTCAAACTGAGAAATCATATTTAAGTTAAGACTATGTGCAGTATTTAAATCCAAATAAGCTATAAATACTCTAAAAAGAGAGTTTGTGCATTTGGTTTATTGCTGCCAAGATTCTGCACTTTTATGGTATTTTTTAAAATGAATACCGTAGTAACAGAAAAACTGATTTTCGAATTTT